CCGGCTGGGCCCTGGTGGTGGCCCAGTTGGCCTGTGGTCAGCTGGGCCGAAGCCCAGGGGGTTTCCTTTTTTTTTGTATTGTTTTCTGTTTTCTTTTTATTTATTTTCTTTTATGTTTTTTAATTATCTATAAACACTTAGGCATTCAATAAAAATTTGTTTGTTGCATCATAATTACCCTTGTAATATTCGACAACCACCGAACAATTTTATTTTAAATTTTGAAAATTTTTATTGTTTTCATCAATTTGAATTTTGAATTTGAACGGTTTCGAATTACTGCGAGGATAGCAACAGTAATCGGGATGACGTGCCATGATTAGCATGGGATTACTGTAGCAAGATTATCCGGGCGTTACAGGGGCACCGCGCACGGCTAAAAGATCTATGATCAACTTGTGTGTCCTAGGGTGCCCCTGCCCCCGTATATAAAGGAGCAAGGGGGAAGGCAGGCCGGCCCCTGGGGCACGCCAAGGAGGGGAGGAGTCCTCCTCCTAGTAGGAGTAGGACTCCCCCTTTCCTAGTCCAACTAGGAGGAGGAAGGGGGTAGGAAGGAGAGGGAGAGAGAGAAGGAAAGAGGGGGCACCGCCCCCCTCCTTGTCCAATTCGGACTCCTCAAGGGGGGGCAGCCCTAAGGCCCCTTCCTCTCTCTCTCTCACAAGGCCCATGTTGGCCCATTAGTTCCCCCAGGGGTTCTGATAATCCCCTGGCACTCCCATAATTATCCGGTGTCCCCCGAAACTCATCCGGTGTCCGCATATAGTCATTCAATACATCAATATTTATGTCTCGACCATTTCGAGACTCCTCGCCATGTCCGTGATCACATCCGGGACTCCGAACTATCTTCGGTACATCAAAACACATAAACTCATGATACCGATCGTCACCGAACGTTAAGCGCGCGGACCCCACGGGTTTGAGAACTATGTAGACATGACCGAGACTCATCTCCAGTCAATAACTAATAGCGGAACCTGGATGCTCATATTGGTTCCTACATATTCTATGAAGGTCTTTATTGGTCAAACCGCATAATGATATACATTGTTCCCTTTGTCATCGGTATGTTACTTGCCCGAGATTCGATCGTCGGTATCTCAATACCTAGTTCAATCTCGTTACCGACAAGTCTTTTTACTCGTTCCGTAAAGCATCATCCCGCGACTAACTCATTAGTCACATTGCTTCCAAGGCTTATAGTGATGTGCATTACCGAGAGGGCCTAGAGATACCTCTCCAATACTCAGAGTGACAAATCCTAATGTCGATCTATGCCAACTCAACAAACACCATCGGAGACACCCGTAGAGCATCTTTATAGTCACCCAGTTACGTTGTGACGTTTGATAGCACACTAAGTGTTCCTCCGGTATTCGGGAGTTGCATAATCTCATAGTCATAGGAACATGTATAAGTTATGGAGAAAGCAATAGCAACAAACTAAACAATCATCGTGCTAAGCTAACGGATGGGTCAAGTCAATCACATCATTCTCTAATTATGTGATCCCGTTAATCAAATGACAACTCATGTCTATGGTTAGAAAACATAACCATCATTGATTCAACGAGCTAGTCAAGTAGAGGCATACTAGTGACATTCTGTCTGTCTATGTATTCACACATGTACAAAGTTTCTGGTTAATACAATTCTTTCATGAATAATAAACATTTATCATGATATAAGGAAATATAAATAACAACTTTATTATTGCCTCTAGGGCATATTTCCTTCAGACCCGGCAGCTACTGCGCGCCCCGCGGCAAAGAAGAAGGGTCCGAAGAAGTCAAGGTCGGAACTCACACCGGTGGAGCTCGCCAAGATCGACCAAGAGTCGGCCAAGAGGAGGGCCTAGCGTACCATTGCGGGCGGAGAAGAAAGCCGTTGCCGACTTCGCCGCCGAGGAGCCCGTGTTGCGTAGCGTGCAACACAAGACCAGCGTCGACGACAAGGAGGTCATCGTCGCTAAGGCGCACACCCTTCTCATGTTAGGGTCGTGCCGACCCTCGCCAACCATTCTCTCGATCGCTGCCATGGCCGCGGTTAGCACAGGCTCGTCGGCCGTTCGACCTCCGTAGTGCCATCCCCCGAGCTCGTCCGTCACACTGGAGACGCCCGGGTATCATCTGCCGCTACTGCATGGCCAGACCCGGTTCTTCACGACACCGGACAACATCGTGGTCTTCCCTTTAATTGTGTAGGCATTCCAATCTTTGAAAACCTTCAAGGCCCGGCATAAGAACAAGCCTTTCACTCTCACACATTGGTGGTCGCTCATCAAATATTGTCCCAAGTTCAAAGACCAATATGCCGCTCTTGAGAAGAAAGCAGGGAAGGCGGCCGTGACTGAGAATGGAGATTTGCTCAATAGGCCAAGGGGCAAGACCAACTCGAAGGCCGGCGAGAAGCGTGACGCGTCATCCATCGCCTTGCAAGCAACTTTGTACGGCATGATGACTCAAAAGGAAGTGAGGGAGGAGAAGAGGAGCAAAGGGAAAGAGGAGCTAATGAAGATATACTTGGAGCTCCAAACAAATAAGTTTGACATGGAGGAGGCCGCCAAGAGGAGGAAGCTCGACATTGAGGAGGCCGCCCAAACGAAGAAGCTCGCGATCGAGGCCACCAATGTTGATACCAAGGCAAAAGAGGTGACGCTAGCTATCATGAGCGTCAACAAGACCAACATGTCCCAGAAGAGAAAGATTTGGTTCGCGAACCGGCAAAATGAGATGTTCGAGCAAGACGGCCTGAACTAGGGAGTCCTTGACCGTGGACTACGGCCGTTCTTTTTGAAGGCTGGCCAGTGTGCCGGCCGCTGGCTTTGTTGCCAACACGAAGAACTTGTTCATTTTGAAGGCTGGCTAGTGTGCCGGCGAGAAAACCTGTTCATTTTAAAGGCTGGCTAGTGTGCCAGCCGCTGATTTTGTTGGCGGCGTGAAACTTGGCGCTTGATCGTTCTGTTGGCTGGCATATGTTTGCCGGCTGCTGGCATGAACGGTGGCCGATGGCCGCTGACATGATCTACGTCCACTTTTTACATTTGCATGCACACAAACGAGATGCGGCCGAGCGTTGGACGCACGGCCGACACATGCAGAAAAACGGCGGTAGGCCGTCCCATTGCCATACCCAAAAGGATAAAATCTAGATAAAACGGGTGCCCGTTCGGGATCGTGTGTTGAAGCTGCCCTTATGTAGTCTAGTATTAATCAGCCGCGCATGACCAGAAGACATTCAGAGGAACAATGAAATGAAATGCAACTTAAAACATGCCACCCAGCCGTGTTGCATAGATGAAAATAGCTTTTGCAAGAAACAATGAAGATAACAAAATTGGGATCCATCAAAGCAACGGCAGAATCTGCAGAGTACATTGGCCAATTATCTACGTTGAGCTAATGCACGATTAACAAGGTTATCCTCCTCTATCCTTTCCACAAAAGGCAATCCCGATCCGGCACCAAATCTCGCCGCCCATGGCGCCCGAATGGGAAATATCAGTAAAATACTCCAACATCGCTGCCTGCGTGTCCTAATCCTTTTTAGCACGCACAGCACGCACCAAACAAGTGGCTAATCAAGCCGAAAACTTTTGACCGCAACGCTAGCGTGCAGCAGCCATTTTGTTGTTGTGGCCAGTGATGGTGGTTGTGCTCGCGCTCGAGGTCTGAGCAACCAAGGGAGAATTTTGGGGCCATCGTGATGCGGCCTCGCCTTGTTTTCTCCACGCCCTCCGTTGGACGCAAGGCACGGCTCGAGCCAAATCTCTTGTTTGGTTGCTCGGCTTAACCACTAGCAACCACTAATCGGCCTCCCTGCCTTGCCGAAACGAACAACGCACGGTTGTCTTTGAGGCAAAAAAATGCTGAAATATTGCAGGAGCACGAGCGTTTGGTCGCTTGCCACGGAAATGCTACGATAAATTTTGGCGGTTTGGCGGGGTGGTGTTGGAGGTTAGCAATAAGTAGTTGTCTTCACTCACCGTTTACCAACCACCATCGACCCCCCTTCTTCCGGCGGCGTCGAACGTGCACTGCTACAAAAGGAGGAGAAGATCGCCACCGTTGTGGAGAGTGGCCACCTTAACCCAACCCGTTTCACCTCCCCTCCACCGGCGCCGAATCTACGCCCCACCAACCAAATCCTCCTTTGCAAAGCAAATTTACGAAAGCACGCACAAGAAACACGCCGCAGCAGCAGCTCGTGTGAGCGTGGGCGGTACTGCCGAGCTGACGGTGATCACCACCATGGCACCATGCTCATCGTCGTCCTCTTCGTCGTAGTGTAGTACAACTAGCGGCGACAGCGAAGGCGAGCGTGCAGTGCTGCCACTGTGGATAGCTTTCCGGTGGGGCAAGAAAGAAGCCGGGGAGGGGGAGGAGGCAGGAATCATTCGGCTGCAAAGTTGCCGGCGCCACCTCGTCGGCACTGTCCCCGCTTTCCCGGGCCGCGTGGGGGCCGCACCTCCGTCCCCGCGTCTGGTTGGGTCTGGGTGTGCTGCCGCTGTCTCTGCGCCACCACCACCACCACCGCATCGGCACCAGCACCAGCACCAGCTGCGGCTGCTCCCATCTTTTCTTCTCGAGGGAGATGCTTCCGCTCCTCCTTATATCCACGCTCCCGGCCTTCACGCTGCTCCTCGTCGCGCCCGCCTCCTGCAAGCCCTGGAAGCTGGTGCGGGAGCTCGGCCTCGTCGCGCTGCTGCTGGCGCGGGAGCTGCTCCGGCACTCCGCCTCCGCCGCCGCGGGCGCGGGCAGGAAGGAGCAGCAGGGCGCCAGAATGCCGCCGTCCAAGCCCAAGACGCCGCCGCCCGCATTGGCGGAGGGCGACGCGGACGCGCTCCCGGTGCTCGACCTGCCGGAGCTGGCGCTGGAGCGCGTGCTGGAGGAGCTGTCCCCGGCGTCGCTCGCCGCGATGGCGTGCGTCTGCGCGGGGCTCAGGGACCGCTGCTCCATGGACGGCCTGTGGGCGCGCCACGTCCGGCGCAAGTGGGGCCGCGTGCTCGGCGCCGCCGCGCGCAGGGAGTGGCAGGCGGAGCTGGCCGCCAGAGCGGCCGCCGCCGCCCTCCCGCGCCCGGCCAGGCGGCGCGGCCTGGCGGACTCGCTGGCGTGCGCGTGGCCCTTCTCCTGGATCGGGCGGCGCTGGCTCAAGGAAGACGCCGCCGCCGCCGCCCGCTCCGCACCCGCGCCGCCGGCGGACACGGTGGCCGCGTGGTACCGCGCGCTCGAGTGCGGCGACTTCTGGTTCCCCGCCCAGGTGTACAACCGCGAGGTAGTTAACAACAGTTATTATTACCCAGCTCTAAATTGAAAGTTTGATCCGCCATTAGATTAAGCACAGATCGCTTTGCCGTTGTTTCTTTCTTGCAAAAAGCTCGCTTTGTTTAATGGCGGGAGGTTCTGTTGTGTTTAGCAGGACGGGCACGTCGGGTTCTTGCTCTCGTGCTACGACGCTCACCTCCGCTACGACCGGCGAACCGACACCTTCACCGCCAGGTACCACTCACCACTCCACTTCACCGGCCGGGCCGAGATCGATGGAATTGACTGGTTCATAAGCTGCTCTGATCGATCAGTGACCGGTCGAGATATGTGTGTATGATTTAATGCGTGAAGGCGATCGGAGCATGGGATATTTTTGGTGTTGCTTTGAATGTGGCGCTGATGGGTTGTGAATTCTGGCAGGTACCCGCCCCACGGCCGGAAGCCGGCCAAGGAGGAGGAGGGCGTGCCGTGGTGCAGGGTCCGCGCGGCGCCGCTGAGCACGCCGGCGCAGGACCTCCACGCCTCGGCCTGCCTGGAGGACCTCCGCCCCGGCGACCACTTCGAGATCCAGTGGCGGAAGAACAAGGACTTCCCCTACGGTATGTATGGATTCTTGTTCTTCCCGGTCACGACGCCCTTGCAGAATCGGCTGCGGCCTGGCATTCGGTGACGGATGATTTCTTGTGATGGATCGCAGGCTGGTGGTACGGCGTCGTGGGTCACCTGGAGCCGTGCAACGCCAACGAGCATCTCTGCCGCTGCCATGAAGATGGTAACGACCTGCTTCGTTTCCTCGAATTCTATGTGAAACATGTGAAATATATTCGGGAACACGTCGAGGGCATCTTATCCCATAGTCGGATCAACTTGCGTGAAACACGTCGTGGCTACAGTCTGATCATTGCCCTCTCTCTCCCCCGTGATCTTGTGCCGTTCGTCCTATCCAGTATCCACAGTCCAGAGTCTGTTCATCTGTCTGGCATCTATTCTCGTGCGTTCTTATCCATATCCACAGCATGTGCCACTTATTCTTCTGTCATTGTGTTGTGTGTCTGTGCTTATCTGAATTTTCTTGGGTCCGTGTGTGTGCTCTGTCAGATACGATCATGCTGGAGTTCAAGCACTACGCGGCCGGGTCGAGGTGGAGGCAGACGACGGTGAGCAGGAAAGACCACCGGGAGAAAGGGGACGAGACGGACGGCTTCTACGGCGGCATCAGGAAGCTCCAGACCAAAGACGAGATCTCAACGTGGCGGAGATTCTGGCCGGTGGACGTGCTCAGCTGAACATGGACATATATCTGCCGCTCCGTTGTACAGCTGCTTGCCGGTGGTCGCCGAGCTGCGGCGTTCCTCTGAAGAATGCACCCACCTGGTGGTGCTGCTGCTGCTGCCGCGCTTCTGAATGTTTTTGGTACTACTGGAAAATTCAGATGGGTACGCCGGATTCCAGAGTCCCAGCAGCAGTGAGAGGCAACGATAGGCTTGTATGTGAATGATGATGTACAGCTCTACCAAGTCTTCAGTTTGCACCGTGCTGCTGCTGGATCCTAGACTAGTATTCCCTCTGGAAACAAATATAAGAGTGTTTAGAACACTATTTTAGTGATCTAAACGCTCTTACATTTCTTTACCGAGGGAGTAGATTTCTGGTATAGACCGATGTCCAGTTGTATTTTTCGCAGTCATTGTAGCCAGTTAGTAGTATATCCAGTTACGCGGCTGCTTCGGACACGGAAAGCAACTTTGCCCTCACTATTACTCTCTCCGTCTCAAAATAAATGTCCTCAACTTTATTCTAGATTCAATTCAAAATTATACTAAAATTAAGACACTTATTTTGAGACAAGGAGATTGTGCGGATTTGACAATCAAGTGCCCAATATCTGGCCAAGCCAACGAGTACAAGTGCAAGCCTCTATCCAAGAGATAGTCCGCGGCAAGTCTCTGTGGACTATCTCTGTGACATAGGCTTGCTTAAGTATAGTCAGCAGAAATGCGGTGTACAAGTTTGTAACTTAGTTGATCCTATGGCGTTTTGGCCCTTCGAGCAGGCACTGTGATGAACAGTAACCATTTACCTGACTGAATTTTTCTGTAATTTTTTTACATATGCAAAATCATTTTCAGGCGCGCATAAGCAAATGCTCCCTAGAGCCGAATTGGATATCCGCTTCTATAAGTCTTAGCTTCTACAATAGTCAGGTACCCATATTATACACATGTACGTTTTGAGAATATGTCCCGTCAAAACAGTAAATAATCAAATAAACGGTATCAGCTGGTTGATGAATGGTGATGTGGTAGTGAAGTATACAGTTAATGCACGTACATTTTGTATGTTGCACTAGTCTATCGTGAAGGATCAAATTATGGATCTGGCTCACCGCCTGATCTGTCTCTTTCCTCCGCTAATTACGTGCCTCTGGTAACTGACCCTGTAGCATGTCCTCTCGACTGGACGAGACTTGCCTGCTTCCCCCGCGTGCACCCATCTGTGCTTCCACATACGTGGCATGATTTGATTGAAACAAAATAAGGCCTGGCCCCATCTCTTAAAATGAGGGGGGAAGATGATTAGATTAGAAAGAAAAAAGAGAAAAAGACAGCCGTAGGATGAAGTGGGAGCACGGATGGGAGCATGGGAAGGGAGCAGGCAAGCCGGATATCCTCTCGGCCGCTAACCTCTCTGTCCTCCACTAATTACGCAATGAGTTCGTTCCAGCTTCGTTTCTAATATTTGCTTCCCCGGTCAAGGAAGCATGAAGCAAGACACTGAATATTTGCTTCCAGCTTCGTTTCTAATATTTGCTTCCGAACCTATATCCTAGTAAAATATAATCAAACAGTGATTTAGCTCCTTCAAATAGAAAAAAACATTCTCCCACTTGTTTCAAAACTATATATTAATCGAGTGCTTCCATCAACTACAAAATTGCTTCCAACCAGATAGTACTGAAATAGCATGTGACACAATCTTTTAGTATAAAGAAAAAAAATGCTTCGCAAAGGAATCACGTGGAAGCACAACTTGTTGACGCCACATTGTTTGAAAAACATATTTCCGCTTGTCTCAGAAGCATCATTCTGGTGCTTCTGTCAACTATAAAATTGCTCTCGACAAAATAATAATAAAAATGCAAGTGAAACGATCTTATTCGCATAAACGAAAATATTGCTTCACAAAGAGATCACGTGGAAGCACAACATGAATGATGACACATCGCTTAACTCTTTGCTGAGTTTAGTTTTTGTCCCTCAATTCTAAAATTGGACAGAGTGCACCCCAAACTCTCGAAACCAATCATTTTTCGTCCCTGCGACTGAGTCAACTCGGTTTTGACCATGTGTGAACAGTACATCTGATGATAAATTCGAAAAAATAGCAAAAAAATCTGAAATTTTATGACATCGGAGATACTCAGGTGCGCCACGTGAAGGAAATATGTCCTAGAGGCAATAATAAATTATTATTTATTTCCTTATTTCATGATAAATGCTTATTATTCATGCTAGAATTGTATTAACCGAAAACATAATACATGTGTGAATACATAGACAAACAGAGTGTCACTAGTATGCCTCTACTTGACTAGCTCGTTAATCAAAGATGGTTATGTTTCCTAACCATAGACAAAGAGTTGTTATTTGATTAACGGGATCACATCATTAGGAGAATGATGTGATTGACTTGACCCATTCCGTTAGCTTAGCACTCGATCGTTTAGTATGTTGCTATTGCTTTCTTCATGACTTATACATGTTCCTATGACTATGAGATTATGCAACTCCCGTTTACCGGAGGAACACTTTGTGTGCTACCAAACGTCACAACATAACTGGGTGATTATAAAGGAGCTCTACAGGTGTCTCCAAAGGTAAATGTTGGGTTGACGTATTTCGAGATTAGGATTTGTCACTCCGATTGTCGGAGAGGTATCTCTGGGCCCTCTCGGTAATGCACATCACATAAGCCTTGCATGCATTACAACTAATGAGTTAGTTGCAAGATGATGTATTACGAAACGAGTAAAGAGACTTGCCGATAACGAGATTGAACTAGGTATTGAGATACCGACGATCGAATCTCGGGCAAGTAACATACCGATGACAAAGAGAACAATGTATGTTGTTAATGCGGTCTGACCGATAAAGATCTTCGTAGAATATGTGGGAGCCAATATGAGCATCCAGGTTCCGCTATTGGTTATTGACCGGAGACGTGTCTCGATTATGTCTACATTGTTCTCGAACCCGTAGAGTCCGCACGCTTAAGGTTTTGATGATAGTTTGTGACGCCCGGGTAATTAGGCTACAGTACTCTCACGCTAATCGTGCCACGTCACCACGATTACTATTGCTAAACTCACGTTGGTTCGAAACCGATTCAAATTCCAATTCAAAATCAAGTCAAACAATAAAGGTTTTCAAATATTAAAACTAAAATGTTCGCGAAGTGCCAAATAATTCATAAGTACTATTGGTGGGTAAACCAAGTCTTTAAAATAAATTTAAATGAACTAAACTAAATAAAACAGTAGCAAAAATAATTAGATAAATGCCTTTTATTAATTATAAAATATTAAACCATTTTATTTGAGGTTAAACTTTTTGTGTCAGTGGTATAATTAGTAAAACTAAATTAGGTACTACTAAAATATTTTACAAAACTAAAATAGATTGAAGAATGAAATAAAACAGAAAAGAAATATAAAAACAGAAAGCAAAAAAAAAACAAAGAAAAGCCCCCTGGCCCAACTGGGCTTTAGCCCAGTCGACCGGCCCACCGACGCCGGCCCACCCCACTCCCCTTATCCCCCTGTAACCCTAGCCGCCCACTCCCCACTCG